GTGATCTGTAATAAGAAAAATGCAACATATGTTGAGGGTAAGGTAAAGTTGTCCCTGTCTTTAGCTAATAAAGCATTATGCTGTGAATGCATAAGGGGGAGTGGATTTATAGATCCACATACCCATTGGATAGGATGCTGGGTGGACCCCAGAGCCAGTCTGGACAATGTGGAGAGAACATGCTTGATCTCCAATCCCTCAGTTGTTGAGCCCATAGACAATCACTATACCAGCTATGGTATCCAGGCCAGATATGGAGGGTAACCATGAGTATGTTGAGTAAGCAGTCACAGAAAACCAACAAAGGGTGGTCCTCCAGCTTGGGGGTTTACACATGGTCTCAGACTTGGGCAGATTTTTTTGGATAAGTGGTCTAAACTAAGAAAAGTGGAATTTAGTATGTGGAATGTAAGAAGTCTGTTTAAGGCAGTTTCATTCATAACAGTTGCAAGAAAAATATCAGAATATAAATTAGATTTAATGGGAATACAGGAGCTCAGATACTCTCTCCAGCTAGTGCCATGGTCAAAAATATGTGGATCTGTACACATTCATTCCCCCATACATCTCTATGGCATCATGCTTTACTAATTAAGCACAGGGACAACTTAACTTAAAACAGGAGGTCACACTTTTTGTTTAGATGAGCTTGCTTTTATTTGCATGCAAGAATATACTGTCATGCATTTAGTTACTATACATGGGATTTGGAGGAAATTGGATTTATTTGATTCTTACAGATCATAACTACAGCTGGGACAATTTCAGTGATTTACACGTTCTACAATTCACTACAGCATGTGCTAGGCCTTCTCAGTCACCTGTGTCTTCACTGATTGATGCTTGGTAATGGTTTCCAGCGCTAACGATACTTTGGCTTCCATGTTCCATGGCTCCAGTTCTCGCTGGTTGGCTCCCATCTCACACTAAGTCTTCATGGCCGCAACCCCTTGTCATTATCTGCCTCCTAGCCATGTCTTATCCACCACTGGCTAGTACTGACTGCCTGCAGACTCACTCACAGTCTTGACTGCCAACTACAAACCACACTATATAGCCTCAGTGTGGACTGCATAGAAAATAGTGCCTCCAACAGTTTGTCTATTGTTGCATTTCTTATCCAACAATTGCTTCATTGTTGCATTAGCTTCTGTTGTTGCAGAAACGTGTTTACAGCACCGTTGCATAGTAATAGGATGTCTCTTCCTCTTCCACTGTTCCGACATTCAGCTGTCATGTCACAATACACATAACAGATACTGGAGCATAAGAAATCCAACTTCTCACATACAAAGTTTGTGTTGGGTGCACATGGGTGTGAATAGGATTATGTGCCAGCAATTAATGCAGATGTAGTTAATTATGAGAGATTTTTGGACCACTGACATTCACTGTTGCTCTAGATGAGTGAATGTCAAAGGGAGCAACTGATACAGTAAGTGTAAAAGCTAAGCTCTAACACCATCAACAATAGTCTCTCTGTTTAATGAATACATTATTCAGCAGTAAATATTGTGACATGATGGCTAAATGCGAAAATAGTAGAATAAGAGGAGATGACTGTTGCTTGCAAACAGCCAATAAAACTCATGCTCACATTAACAAACACAACCCATCTTGACACAGCACACAGCAGTACAGGAGCTCGTTGAAGTGGTGATTTCTATACAGTCCAGTCAAGGCTATATAACAAGGATGAGCAAGCCAAGTTAGTTACAAGACAGGCGCCATCCATCAAGGACTTGACCACGGAAGCATAGGAATACCCATTGTTGGAAGCCGCTACCTAGCAACACGAGGCTTAATGTTTGCTCTAGTGATTTGTACAGCACATAAACCTATGAAACTGTTATAGTTACGAGTTATAAGTGTTCATCAAATTTAATTATCAATCCAAAATTCCTATCTAGTCATTAACAGATGACAAGTGGTATCAGAAGTGGGATCAGTTGGATTGGAACCCAAGTGGCGGATAATCATGGCGGATTTTGAATGTTTAGTAGCCATCATGGAAAGGCTGGAAGCCAAGGTGAAAGCCGAAATAAAAACCAGAAAAAAAGATATGAAATCTGGACTGGAATAAATAGCCTTGGTAAATGCCATCCAGGAGAAAATGAGGGACAGTGAGGATACCACAAGTGCCATAAAAATGGTGGCCACAATATACTTCATCCAGTCCAAGGTCAAAAGGACCATCAGAAATGAGGTGGAGGACATCCTGGCGTCTGTCAACCAATGGACACAGGCCCTCCAAAAGGAACTCTACCGGAAGGTGGAACCACTATGCTTAATAATGACATCCCTCAAGACTCTCACCAAGGGCCTCTGTGACGACATTGCAAATGTAAAGGAGGTTCATGAAGAATTTGAACTCAAGACCCTAGATACACAGATGGACATACAAACAAAAAAGACCTTCCTAGAGACCAAGGTAGCTGAAGTTGAGGCCTTAGCTGAGCTCGTGTTCACATATTTTCTATCTATATTCTTTACACCTTGGTGCTTTGAATTCAATTTTGAGTGTACATATAATAAAGTTATAAAATTCATTACTAATACGGGGGTCATACTGAAAGTCTACATAATCGCCACTTCTTTGTACACATTTCTCCCAGTGTTCTGGGAGTTTGAAAATTCCCCTTCTGTAAAATTATGTTCCAGCCATCCGAAGACACTGACACACTGCTTTCTGAATTGCCTCCCTTGTCTCAAAACGTTGTCCACGCAGCTGATCCTTCACAAATCCGAAAAGATGGTAGTTGGAGGGTGCCAGATCAGGGCTATAGGAGGGGTGTGGAAGAACTTCCCACCCCATCTTTTCGCTGACCTTTGTGGTCTTCAGTCAATAACCACGGGACCCAAGGAGAACAAACTTTCCTATAGCCCAAGCTTTCAATCATCTCCTGTACTGCACTGTGCCCTATTCCAAGATTTTGGGCTATTGTGTCCACAGTCACACGCCTGTCATCTTGAATGATCTCATCCACTCTTTCCTTGTTGCGTTCAGTTGAGGCTGTTCAAGGACGACCGCTCCGAGGCTCATCTTCGATGCTGGTGTTCCTATCTTTAAAATGTTTCACCCATCTTCGAACACTGCTCGCACCCATGCACACACTTCCATAAGCACGCTGAAGTGTCTGGTGAATTTCTGCAGCAGGGATTTCCTCTTTCACAAGAAATTCGATAGCACGCTGGCGAAAGGACATATGGTTGTCGGCCATTTTGTTAGGAGTGATACTGGTCACGTGATGCAAGCTATTGATGTCACAAGACACTCAAGGTTAACACAACAGCTGGTTCCACCTACCACCATACTCTCTTTTGTCTGCTGTTTCCAGGTTGCATGCAAAAATAGTTGCTCATGACTTTCGATACGACCTACGTACTTTTGATACCATTGCTACTATGATTGTTGTTACCATGATTTCTGTTGTTAGTATGCAGTACTTGCTATTGGTTACCATGCTTACCGCATTTCAGTGCTTCTACTGTCATTCACACCTCAGATATTTATGTGTCTCTGACATTGTTGTAACCAGTTCATCTTCCATGCGCTACCTCCGCCCCCTTTTTCCAAGGGTGCGGAGGTAGCGCTCGAAAGATGAACACCAAGGAAATAAAGGAAGGGAAGTACCGTTAGGTTGTTCGGGATGAACAACCTTTATAAGGGAGCAATCTCACATGTCGTGAATCCGGAAGCGATACTTCCATGGAAACACAACAGCAGTTGGCCGTTGCATAGGAAAAACGAATTGTCATTACTACTGGCGATGGCCAGTCATTTTTGGCACTCATTCCTTTTTCTCTGGCGGTTTTGGTCCCTACGCCTCTTATTCGGTTCTTTGACCGGTATTATTTCGGCATCTTTCCTGGGGACATCTCCATGTTGTGCCACCTCAGGTTTCTTCAAGACGTGCCTCCGTCGTTTCTTGGCAGGCCATCGTCTCTTTTTCGGTTTCGATTTTGGCCACCTTCTCCTTGTGGCTGGCGTCCGTCTTTTATTGCATGGGGGTCATCTCTTCTTGCTAGGCTTTCTACTCTTCTCGGTCAGCCTCCATTTTGGCCAGCAACTTTTTGTGGCCAGCCTCCGCCTTCGGGCCATGGGCCTTTCTGTTGCCCATCATTTCATCTTGGCCATCGTCTGTTGTATGTCCATTTTTGTTCGTGTGGTGTTATAACACTTGAGGTGGCGTTAGTCCAATAATTTGTCTTAATTACATGTTGTTTGCATGTTTCACTGGTAACCTACTTCTGAGAAACCAATGTCGCGTGTTTCCTATGTTCCTATGTAATAAATTACTTCACGCAGGTATTGGATTTAGCGAATATTTATTTGACTCTCGCTTTCACTCAACTCAAGTACAATTATTATCACGTTCAGTATCACAATTCTTCTTGCATTGTTAATCTCAGCTGCTAGACTTCAGCTGTCAACTAACTGAAAAACTCTTCGGAGCTGGACTATTATAACCTAGTTTCAGACGGGATAGAGGACACCTTCACCCAGGGTTCGATTTCACATGTTCTATGCTTGTTACCGCGGGAATGCGTTATTTTCGCTGTTTCAACAATTCGTTGCCATGGTTATTCCTAGGCAATGATCTGTTGGTATTTGATTTGTCACTGTGGGAACTAAACAGTTTCCATTGTAGCTGTTGCTCAGTGATGGACGACATATAGCACATTACATTATGTTATTTCTCTGTTTAATTTAGTAAGAGGGTGTTGGTACTGCTACAAGTCATTATATTTGCAAGTAAAGAACTAAATTCTTTCTCTTATTAGCCCCCACTAACAGCCTTCTTCTACGTTCTTTGCACATATATATATATATATACAAAATTCATTGTCATATAGCATTCTAAAAATAATTTTAAGTGTCCTATTTCTGATTCGCCATCTAAGAATACTGGCTGTAGTGGTGATGCTAGTTGTATTTATATGCTTCCCACATCCTTCAGATCCATTCACTTGGTACTGAAGTTGACATACTCCCACAGGATTGGCTCAGTTCCCAAACCAGCTACCAATACCATTGGCTGTTGCAGAGGTTGTGCTGTTCCCAGTGGTTCTTGGCCAGCATCAGACCTGGCAGCAAGCATCCAGTGTGTTTCAAGGTATGGAAGATACACTCAGTTCGCTTTCAGTTAGAGTGCAAATTTCAAGGTGAAACGCTGAATTTGTTGTGTGTACATCAGCAAGTGGTGTGGTTGTTTCTTGATATCCATTAAATACATTCAGGTCTGTATACATTTATCGGATTGTTTATAAATACTTTATTTTTGTTTGAAAGTGTCTGAATTAATCTAGTGCTGAGATTTGGTTGAAAGCATTCTATTCTTTAAGAAATGAATTTCATAGAAAATTTTTGTTGAATCCAGATCTCCACCAGTGAAATTTAAATTATATTTGCTACACTGCATAAATTTACCAATATTTAGAAGTTTGCTGTTTTTAAATTGACAGTGGTTAAGGTGTAAGTTAAACTTTTTTCATTTACATTTAAAACTGGAGTCTCAAGTGGTGTAGGATCTCTATTTTTTAGCATAGTTTTCCTTTCTTAATAGGAAAAGGTAGATTTGTAGGTCACCAAGCTGCCTGTGAGTGTGTATCCCCCCTTTCCAACTTCTGAAGCAGTTAACCAATTTTCACATAAATTTGTATGGATGTTGTGCCATTAGAGTCACTTCCAGCATCCTGCTTTTTAACTCTTATAAGTACCTGGACCCAGTCTGTGAATCTGCAGTGGTGTACGGTACATGTATTTTGAATGACTTTGGCATGTGGGAATATGTGACTGCCCATTTGACCAGTGGGTACACAAGTAAATACCTTATTTTTTATCATCAGTATCCTTTCCTTGTTGAACCCGAAGCACATGCCATTTTGTTAAATGCTTTCTGAATTGTCTGAATGTTTTTTTTTCCCCTTCAGCCTGGAGATGTTTTCAGTAGTATTTGTGATATGTATGTATGTATATGCTTCCTGTTTTGTCTCTCTTCATGTCATTTTTGTTGGTGAATCTGGCCTTGGTTGCTTTGTTGATGTCCTGGAGGGAGTAGCCATTATCTTGGAGAACAGAGTTGTTGTAGACCTGGATGGGCTCGTCACAGATCACTTTAGATCTGTTAAGAAAGTTATCATGGATCTCCCATGATCCAGTGTGTGGTGTGATGCTCCCTCCAAGTGTCTGTATGGGTAGATTTGCTGTTGGTGGTGTAGATAGGGAGTTTTCAGGAGTCCCAGGAAGTTCTGGAGAAGCTGGACCTGGGGGTTAAGCTCTTTGATGGGAAACATAGTGTAAGCCACTGCTTGAAATCCTGGCTGTAGTGGATGACATCTGCTTCATGCTAATGATTTATTTTCTGCTCTCTGAAGGTCAGTAGAGAGATAGTGCTTCTGCCATTTGATAAATTTTTTACAACTTGCCTCTAATGGTAGATACCATTCATTCTAAACCCACAATATTACAAAGCAGTTTGATTACGTGCAAGACATGCACATGTGTGTTGTATAGTGTCTTGTGTTTGTCACTTCATATGCTGCCTTTGTGCAGCCAAAGAGATTATAATGTAGGCTATCCTGGAAATGTTTCTTAGTTAGCAATCAGTGTCTACGCTGTATGGACTTGTTATTGTGGAAGAGTGCCTGCTATTTGTTGTACTACTTCCCTGCAAATGTATCTAAAAGGAGACAGAATTTACCTTATTACAATATATAGGACATAATTTATCTGAGTGAGGAGGAGCTGTGTTTCATTGAAACTTGTTCAGGAAGTGAGAAGTGGAATGCATGTTTTGGAGTAAAAATTTATAAATTATGTGACATGCCTGGCTGCACATATTATATGGACATCTACTTAGGGAATTACAGGACAGATGTGATTGCATATATGACAGCAGCACATAAAACTGTAAAACAACTGACAGAGGACATCAAAGGACATGAACATAAGATATATATGGGCTGCTGCTTTTTTCACTTGGCTTGTTCAGTGATCTGACAAAAAAGAAAATTGATTGTTATAGGGTAGTGGGACCTAAGGCCCCGTCTACACGAGCACATGAAGTATGTCCGTTGCAACAAACGTACTTTATGACGGATGTTGCTGAGGACACCACACAGTTGCAGAATGTGGTGTGTAGTTTTTTTGTCTGCAATGGAGCCAGAAGTAAGCGTAGCATTTGCCTCTTGTTTATTTCTACAATGGACGTGATGGTGTTCGTTACAAGGGACTCATTTTGTGCGCTCATGTGGCCCCAGCCTAACAGAAGGGGATGCCAGAGAACTGAGCTTGGTGCCTGCTTCTTATTGGTTTCTTGCTTGATGTACCCTTCATACATGAAGATGGAGGCAGTACTTTCTTCCCAAATGTCAGTAAACTTCTGCTGGTGTGCATTCCTTGGAAATGTAGGTGGACCTCTTCCAGAGTGCAGAAGATAATACTCTTTATAGGCTCTGCTTTGTGCCTGAATCATGCTATTTTCTTGCTTAACATGCCCTGTGACCCTGAAGATGGAGGCATTATGTTCCTCTGAAACATTCTTGCACCTCTACCAGGCTACACAGCATTTCACGTTTACTGGACTATACTGCATCAAATACCAGAAGATAGTACTCTGCATGGACTGTGCTGGCCGCTTGTTTGTTGCTGGTTTCTTCTTCATGGCTTAATCTTTGATCCCCAAATTTGAGGCAGCACGTTCCTCCAAAACATCAGTGGATATCTACCAGTCTACATGGTATTGCATACCAGAGGATATTATTCTTCATAGGTACTTCTTCATCTTGCTGGATGACTTGCTTGGCTTACTTTTTTGCCTTGAAGATGGAGGCAGTACATTCTTCTGGAACATTGATGTACTTCTACTAAACTACACGTCACTAGATCCAAGAAGTTAGTACTCTTCGCATCCTAGAAGATAATACCCTTAAATGTTTAGTTTTGCGTATTTACTGCAGGGCACTCCAGAGTAATATCAAGGAAACTAGTCTATAGTCTGCCAGGCCATTGACAAATTCAATTTAAAGACCAAACTCTAAAGTTAAGTAGGGATGCATTTCCTATAAATTGTTTTGAAACAGAAACAATTTTAAATCATAATTTATTATGACACAACCCTCAAAACCCCATTTGAGTGTATGTTTCTTCCTGAGTTGCATTTGTGTTGTGAAGTGTTAGTGACTAAACAAGGCATTTGGATCAGTTGTTGGATTTATTGAAGTCTTACAAATCATAACTACACATAATTATAACACTCTTACTAGTTCACACATTCTATTTCTCACCACAGCACATGCTAAGTCTTCTCACTTTGCTATGCATTCACCATTTGTTGCCTGATAATGTATCCCAGGAGTGTCTTCTACTATCCATGCTCACGTCTTTACCGGCTGGTGACTGCCTCACAGCTAACTCAACTGTTGACTCTCAGCTAACTGAAGACTGAACAGACTTTCAATGAACTGCTAACTGGCCAGTGTCCTTGTTATATAGCCTCGGGCAGACCAGATAGAAAGCACTGCTTCCAGCAGTTCATCTATTGTTGCGTACATATCCATTGCCACAGATATGTGTTTATTAGGTGTTACCAAGCAGTGGCCTTCTTCTTCAGTCATCATGTCACATTGATCCCTCCTTAAGGCTGCTCATCTGGAGTAGCCTGTAGGCATGTTTCCATTTCTTCTCCCAGTCTGTGGGGACAAAACTCTCAGAAGTGGCCAGTGATCCTACGGTGCCAGGACATAAGCTGTTACTGATCTCTTCATTTGGAAGGGAGCTGGTTCCTCCACAATTTCTTATCACTTATTTTCTGGAGCCTGATGGAAGACCCAAATACTAGCTTTATGATCTCCATCTCTAGGATCAGCCCAATGGTCTTGTGGTGTGTTTTCTCATCTTGTAGAAGTACATACCGATTTATGCCTCAGACTCTTATCCCATAAACAATTGTCATGCGTGTTTCCCAATGACTGTGATTTTTGGGTAGGGCAGGAAATGCACAGTGGGTCAGCTCCTCGGTGGAGGTGGCAACCTCCTGCAGGGACTTAGCGTAGATTCAAGTTTTCTTTTTCTTTTAGCTGGTTTCCTTACCCTGTGGCCAGATGTTGGTTCCCAACTCGGTCCTCCAGTACCCCGATAGTCACCTCGTATGTCAGTCCTTTAGGGCCTTCATGTATAACATCGGAAGCCTGGCCTTATATGGTGGTAAGCACATGTATGGCTTTTATGTATGGTGCCAATTTATAGTATAGCTCTAATACTTAGAGCTGACAGTGCAGGAAAAATTGCGCCGTGGATGGGTAGGTCCATCCGTGAAAGTTGAAGGGTGTTGTGATTAGTCATTCGTCTACATTCAGTGCAAGTTGAAGTCTGAAGAGTATTCTTCCTTGTACAGTCAAGTTAAAAAGTTTTGACTCTTGGAGTCGTATTTGAGTGTATTATTCTCTAATTACTATATAAATATTGTGACTCGTTACCTTACGTCCATTGCAGCACAATGGCTTCAATGGAAATTGTTGAGTTCCAACAGCGACAAATCGAATACAAACAGACTGTCGCGAAGGAGCTCTCCCGAGGCAACGGATTGCTGAACACATGAGTTTGGAATAGGCACTTCCATGGTAATGCAAAGAACATGGAGCCGTTGCGTAGACAATGCAGAAGCAACGAACACGTCTCCCCAGAAATGAACTACAGAGAGTTCATTGAGCCTGTTAGATAACAGCGGACAGTAGAAGTGAAACAGTGAGGAATGGTGTCTGGTATCCCATCCACAGAACACGTACATAAGCTGAGAGCTAAAGAGACAGAAGATAGCAAGAAGTCAGTATTGGGCCCAGTAGTCAAGTGGTGACACGTAACAGTATTTTATTTTATTATTTATTTTTATTTGTTGATTTTCTTTTTTCTTTATTCATATTTGTACATTTTTTCTATCTCTTTTAACATGTCACCTACACACAGTAAATTGAGTGTAAAAGTGTTGCATTCACAATCAAGAGAAACTGTTAGTAATGTATATAAGTATATGAAAGAGGCTCGGCCAACAATTACAGTGAAAAACGTAGGAGTGGAAGTAGCAAAGGCAACAGGTGTATTGGAAAGTAGTGTCAGAAGAATAATAAGAGAAACAAAAATATCGAATCTGGGGCTTCCACTTCCTTTTCGACACCCCATAAAGAAACACCTAGGAAATCTCCACTAGCCACTTTGGACAACTTTAACGAGTCTGTGGTGCGAAGAACAATTAATGACTCCTACATAGTTGAAAAACGGAGACATACCCTGAAAAAAATTCACAAAAAGTTGAAGAAAACGTTAGATTTTCAGGGTTGCATCTCCACATTGAAAAAAATTATTTTGAAACTGGGGTTTCACTAGAAGAAAACAAAAAATAATCAGACATTGCCGGTGTTGCCCCTTTAGAATAGACCCGTGTAATATGTAAATAAACTCTTCATGTATATAACAGTGAAAAGTGTATAATAGTGTATAGTGCATAATAGTCTGCCATTCGGCACTTAAAACTTAACATCGGATGTGTGAACATCAACGAGAATAAACCACCATCACTATGCAACACAATGAGGTAAGAAGTTATTTCTTTTTGAGAACGCCTGAACTGCATTCCCCGCCACACTTGTCGGCATGCTGGAACTCTCCTTGACACTACCAATACTTCTCCTACCCCACGTCGGAGGACCGTCACCTCTAAGTACTAGAGCTATACTCTGCTGCAGCTTCTATCTCTTCGAGATTGGTCTCGGACTCTTCCTGGTTGGCTCCCGTCATTTCTGGATATGCCTTCTTCTTGGCCTGTAACTTTTCCTGGCTGACCTCACTGTTTCCTAGATAGGCCTCCAGCTCTTCTCAGCGGACTTTCTGCTCCACTCGATCAGCATCTGTCAATGTCTTCATCTTTTCTAGACGGACCTTTGTTGCTTCTGGTCAGGCCTCCTCCTTTTCTAGACAGGCCTCCATATTTTCTGCTATAGCTGCCAGACGTTCGAATACCACCATGATTATCTGCCATGTGGTTTCCAATCCAATTAATCTCACTTCCGACACCAGTTGCCACAATTTAGTAACTAGACACGGGGTTTGGATTGGTAATTTGATTTATTGAACACTTATAAATCATAACTACAAGTAATTATAATGCTGTCCCTAATTCATATACTGTACAGCACACATTAAGTCATACCAGTGTGCTGTATCTTCACCACTAATTGCCTGGTAATGGATTTCAGCAGTGCCCCCTGCCTTCATGCTCATATCCTTACCAGTTAATGACTGTTTCTCAGCAAGCTCAACTGTTGACTCTCAACTAACTGAAGAGTAAAGTAACTTTCAAAAACTGCAACTGCTAACTGGTTGATATTGTTACATAGCCTCAGCATGGACCGCATAGATATTACAGCTTTAAGGGATAAGGTATTATGTCAGATAACAGCAGTGTTTCTAGTTTTTCTCATATTCTTTTTAGTTATTCTGGGGTGATGTCTTAACTCGTGTTTTTTAAACGATACTCTGTAGGCAACCTCATTTCATTGACAGTAGGGCTAAAATTGCTTAAAAAAAGGCCAACGAATTGAAGTTGTGGGATAGGTGTATCCATAAATCAGGTTTGTGTTAGGGCATTGTAGGCCAGCCTTTTAGATGTGAGGTTTTGAAAATAAAGATGTCACCTATGTGAAACAGTACAGACTTCCATCACAAAAACATTATTTTTGAAAGCCATGCATAAAATAAACCACATGCTTTTAAATTTTTACAAGATGGTTCCAGAGTTGTATTGAAAGATTTATCTTTAAACTTTTTATAACAGTTATAATGTGAATAGAAAAGATTTAATCAGGAGCTGGAATAGCATAGTTGGTATAGTGACTGGCTATGGGGTGGACAGCCGAGAGATCGGAGTTCGAATCCTGGTAGGGTCAAGAATTTTCTCTTCTCCAAGTTGTCAAGACCATCTCTGGGGTCCACCCAACCTCGTATCCAGTGGGTACTGCGGGCTCTTTACCTGGGGGTATAGCAGCCAGGGCGTGAAGCTTACCACTCACCTCCAGCTAGTGCTGAGGTAAAGAAATTGTGGATTTATACATCCACTCCCCCATACACCCTCATGGTGTAGTGCTCAATTTTTCAAACACAGGACCAACTTTACCTTTATAGAAAAGATTTAGTCTACTCTGCCATTTTTCTGACTTGACATTCATGTCCTGTCTTTTCGTTTATTCCATAGGTTGCCATGTCCTTTATATCTAAAGCTGAGCGACAAAAGTGCTGGGACTCTCGTGATCGCTATTGGGATTGCCTTGATAGAAACACAGAGGAGCGTGAGCGTTGCTTGAAATTAAGGCAGGCTTATGAGAATTCCTGTCCAACACAGTGGGTAAGTTGTCTTTTCACCTGCAAAGTCTATGAATAAGAGATGGCAATTCTGAAAATATTAAAATGCAGAAAGGTTGCTATAAGGTGATTCACTTGGAGAAAGCCCATCTTATTATATAGATTGTGCAATAATTTACTGATGATAGGAAACTTGGTGATTACATACCTCGGTAGGTGTGAAGAGAGTTTGATTATACATGATGTTGAAATTGGTTTTCTTTTGCCTGGGTAGTCAGGCTGACACAACTCTCCATGTTCACAAATTTTGGCATCCAGGATGGTAGGCTGTGTTGCAGCAGTTTTGTTGATAATGCTTCTTTTCAGGTCATCAACAGTATGAGGTTTGATTTTAAACACCATACCCTTCAGCAGTATTCACAAGAAGCTCACTGGAGTCATGTCTGGAGACCTGGGTGGTCAAAGTCCTTTTGAAATAATCCTCTCACCCAAAAAATTCAACTTCTCTTTCCAAGGCCCAGTTAAAATTGTGACATGTTACCTTGTCCTATTGAAAAGAACTGAATGTCAGTTCCTGGTCATCCAGTGATTCACAGACTCTTGCAGAATGCTGAGGTAGACATTAATGTTGACAGTCATATTGAAGAAAATGGGGCCAGTTATGACAGTTTCGATGCCAGGAGCCACTGCCACACATCCTTCACTGTATTACTTGTCATTTTTGGCTGACCTTTCTTCATGCTGTGTCTGCAAGTTTCCTCAAGTCTCCGGTTTTCATACTGTATTCTGCATAATGCTCTTTGCTGTTGCTGCAGTATGGAAATGGTTTCTGAAAACTGCATGACAGTGTTTGAAGTAACCCATAATCCATTGCAAGCTTATGAGGAAAACTTGGTACTAGTCATATACATTATTCTGCCACACAATACATGGAATCACAGACTGAAGGAAATGACATGAACCAGACAGGCGTGGAGTCAGTGTTGCAGAGTACACAGTACTGCCAAGTTTTGTTTTCATCTGTAAATTGTTGTGTGATTTATAATTACCAGTTCAGGACCTTCTCTGAATGAATCACCCTATATTTTAAGCTAATATTTCTGTCTTGCATCACATTTCACTGAATTTATTGTTTTTTTCTTCTCTTTTTGGTGAATAAGATGCAGGTATCCCTGAGTTTATGAAGATAATTAGTTGCATGGAAACTGTTTTAAGGTGAAAATTGGTAAATCAAAAGTGAAATTCCCCTACTTTCCACATAAAAATCGACAGACCTATGAACATAAATCGCTTTTCGTATGGAAACAAAATTTTTTAATTGAAAAATAGGTACAAATCAACACATTTCCTCATAATGAAAATCAAGTGTTCATAGAATGAGGAATACCTGTATATTGTGAATGTAGTTCAAATTGTCATGCTCTTGTAATGATGTTTAAGTAACATTCCTCAGCAGGCCTAATAGAGTCTGGTGTCTGCATGATCAGATTTAATAACCAAAAAATTCGTATTAACACTAAACCAATTTCCTAACACAAAATGTTATTTCTGCACGCATATGTTCTACAGTTGTGGTCTGTGCAGAATGTGAAACCGAAAGTAGATAGTAAGTTCATGTTTCATACCAGATGCTCTTATTGCTCAATCCTGTTTTGAAGTGATAATGAGGAAGTTTGTAATTTTTGCTCCTCACCATAAGTTATGAGTATTAAAGTGATCAAATCGAGGATTTGAGAGGTAAGAAATGCATACAGAATTTTATTTGGAAAACCTAACTGGAAGGTACCACCTGGGAGACAGAAAACTAGATGGGAGAATAATATTAAAATAGTTCTTGAAGAAATGCATATGAGGTGCAGACTGGATTCATTATTATTATTATTATTGTTGTTGTTGTTGTTGTTGTTGTTATTATTATTTCTTCCTTATTACATTACATCTATAGTAGGCAAAAGCCTTAGATACAGAATTGTGTCAATTTATCTTGCTAATACTCTTTAAGCAATTGTCAAGAAGACTTATAAAATAAGACAATATATGTTTACATCATAATACAATTTCTCTCTAGCATAATACATTCAGATTTATCATTGATTAAAATTTAAGATAAAAGTTTCCATCAAAAGCAACAGAATATTTTGATCATATAGCTTAAACATATATAATAAATCCAACATATAAAAACATTACATTTATAAAATTACAAAATTACAATTTCATGATGACCACACATCACTCGTCCCCAGTCCAATAAAACATACAATCAGGCCTCACACAGACAGCCCAAGGTGTCAGGACAACACACACAGGTGGCGGGAAAACCACTGTCAAACCCACAACCTGCCACTCCACACATACTGGCAAGCCATTTATCTCAGGATAGGGTGCATTGGCAGGGCATGGCAGTGAACCATCAGGTGTCAAGCAAGTTGATGTAGTGGTAATTCTCTAGACTTTATAGGGAGGAGCTTAGATTAGATCTCAGCTGGGACAATGACTGTCCTGTCTGATGTTTCTAATGGTTTTCCTCAGTCCCTCCAGGCAAATGCAGAGACAGTACCTCAATTAGGCGACAACTACTACTTCCAAATTCTTTCCATTCCATCATTCATTGAGCATCCTATCGTTTGTTGCTGTATAGTCTCTGATACTGAAAGCATCATAAAATAGTCCATTAAAAACGAACTTCAGGTTCCGTGGAGGGTAGAGAACTGACTTATTAGCTGAGCAGCTATAACTCCTCAAGGACACTACATGGTGTTATTAGTTCTCCTTTGGTGACTTCTTAATATCAAATACTTAAGAACATTTCATCTTGCACTGGAATCCATAATTTCTGAACAGCTGTCTTGTCAATCAGTCTTCAGCCTAATGTTGCCATTGTTATAATTTTTAATGTTTTTTCTGTGTAACCTACATTGTTGCTAAATGAAATATATTGTAAGAAGTAATCACACTTCCTTGTTTTCAGGTGAAGCACTTCGACCGGAAAAGAGACTACCTGAAGTTCAAAGCACACATAGAGAAAGAGGGGTATGAGCCTCTGGACAAGTGAGGTTCGCCATTAAGTTCCTAAAGTCAAAACATCGTGAAGAATTGTATCTTCTATGATATAATATGTTGTTATCTCATGAAAGCCAGTGTTTCAGAGGAACATATCACTTCCATCCTCATGGTCAAAGCAAGAAACCAGCATGAAGCAGGGAGCAAGCATGGGTTACTCCTTGACCCTGATGATGGTGATATCTTCTTCCTAAACATCAGTTGACTTTCACTGGACTGCACATTGTTATATGCAAGAAGGTAGAACTTTTTGTAGTCACTGCTGTGAGAACCTCAAATACCTTAAAACGTAATGCTGACAGATTCAGCAATGCAACCCCATCCATTTTTTAAAGCTTGATGGTATCTAAGCATAGGAACTATAGGAAATGCCTCGAATTACAAAAATGTTATGAATTAGTAATTCCATTTAGAATGTAGAGATTTCTTAAAAATAGGAAAATATGTAACAGATTAAATTATTGGGAAGTTGCGTTCTTAGTTTTTGGAAGATAATGTAATCTGGACATTTATTTCTATAATTTGCAAATGTGCTGTGTAAAGAACACTCACATTTTCAGTAGACACTTGTTACAGTAGTAAAGGGATCAAACTTTTATAAAGTTTGTAGCATTATCGTAGCCTTCTAATTTTAATGTCATATTATAAACCAGCACTTTACAAATAAAATACAAAGTATGGTTTTAATTTAATCTTTTCAGTTGTAATTATTCACGAACGAAAGGTTTCTATTTCCTGCTTTCACTCTCGTAGGTCTTTGCTTCTGCCACCATCAGAAGACATTTGTGTGTAATAATACAAAATGCTGAACATGTTGGATATGGACAGATATGTAATTATATATGTTATATGTAATAAGCAGGTGAACAGTTTCTTGACACAATATTGTGTAAGCCCCTTTTAGTGGAAACCTGAATTTAGTGTAAGAAAACCAATTCCCCCAGAGTTTCACTAAACGAGAATTTCAGTGTATTATGAAGTCTTGTTGGGCAATCAGCCATGACAGTATAGAATGAATTTCTGGTGTTTCAGAGACTGTCTCTTCTTCTGTCACAGGAAACTGGTGATGAACTGTTTATTTTATATATAAATACTTGTAGTTCACAGAGTCTGGACAGCACCTATCACATCAGTCCCTAATCAAGGGTGAGACAGTCTCTGTAACATTAGAATTGTACTCCATACTGTCATTGTTGATTGACTGAGAAGAATTTATTGGTCACATATATTCTGTACAGTGCTTATATACATGGAGAAGAACCGGGATAACATTGTAGGGATAGCGACTGGCTATGGGCTGGACAACCAAGGGATCAGAGTTCAAGTCCCGGTAGGGTGAAGTAGTTTCTCTTCTCAATGTCATCAGGACTGGCTGTGGGGTCCACCCAACCTCCTGTACAGTAGGCACCAGGGGCTCTTTCCCTAGGAGTAAAGTGGAAGGGGCGTGAAGCTGACCGCTCACATCCAACTAGTGCCGAGGTCAAGAAAATGTGGATCTATGCATCCATTTCCCCATACACCATCATGGCATAGTGTTTAACCTTTAACATAC